TGTTCTGTACCAATATTAGGTTTAATTCTGATACTGACATCTAGAATTTACATTTGGCCTTGTATTTATAAGTTTCAAGCTAGAGTAACTTTAATACCTGAAACTGATGTTTCATTTTAGAAAACTAATCCCTGGTTAATCTAACATATTTTACCTGTTTGTTGTAGGTACAATTTCATTTTCTGGTAAAAGCAAACAAGCTTCTCATGTTAAGGGAGAGACAGATCAAGATCGAAAACTCTCCTTTCAGAAATCACTAACAGAAGTAATCCACAATTTTGATGATGAAGATACAGGTAAATTTATTATGATAGAGAGTTTCATGATCAATCTGCAGAAACCCAAATTATTATTCATTTTTAAGTGAAAAGGATACTTTACATGCATAATATAACACATATTCAATTTTATGTTGCATAAATCTATAAGAATTTTATTGGATTATTTCAGGAATAACTTTATGCAGCATACTTTCTACATATCTACTGCCATTAATATCAACAGTCATAATACTTCAGTTAGAAGGCTGCCTACTTATCCATAAGTGAAAAGCCTTACATATTGTTCTATTATTAAACAAAAAATACAGCAAATTTCTGATAAAATGTTGAGCGTATAATTTTAATAATGTAATATACTTTTCTTACTTCAATATAGGAGATGCTAGCAATCTTCTTCCTGTGCAAAAGAAACTAAATGCTATTATTTTCCCTTCCTATATTATAAAACTTTATTTAAATGTTGCTATACACTGTATCTTCTTACTAGAGGTTCAAAAGAAAATGAGATGATGAAGAGTTAGAATAGTCAGGACAAGTTTCCTAGGAAAAGGGATAAATGAGTTCTTTGATGGGTGAGTAACAGGGATATGCAGTCTTGAATCCAAATTCCCTAGGACAGGACAGGCAGGCTGGAAACTCAGGCTGGGTTTCTATGTTTCAGTTTTGAGGAAGAATTGTTTCTTCTTTAAGTAACCTCAGTCATTGCAATCAGGGCCTTCAACTGATTGGAGGAGGCCCACCCACATTATGGAGGGTTATCTGCTTTACTCAAAGTCTACTGATGTAAATATGAATCACATTTTTTTTTCTTTTATTTCAGCATATTATGGGGGTACAGATGTTTAGGTTATGTATGTTGCCCTTGGTCCCCCCGCCCAAGTCCGAGTTTCAAATATGTCCACATTTTAAAACTAGCTTCATAGCAACATCTAGGTGTTTGACCACAGAACTGGGCACACAAAGCCCATCCAAGTTGACAAACACAATTAAGCATCACGGAATCCATGGATTAAAGAGTGGTATTTAGGCAATATTCAAAATGCTTTGGAAGGGGAAGAGCAGTTAGGACCAGTTAGTCCATTATTACAGCAAACTGGGTTTAAAGTGAAGAGAATTGGGTCTTTTATGGTGTTGCTGGTGACAAAGAAATACCATTAAAGATGGAAAACATTTCAGAGACTAGCATTGAATGAATGTCCTGAGAGAAGAGAATGAAAAAGGGAATTGATCCTAAAATAATAATAAGGTTTATTTGTATCTTGGTAAATAGAAAATTAATAAGACAGAAATTTCTAAATTTCTGAAAAAAAAGAAAAAGTTTGGGAAATTATAATGCCTAGTACAGTTTTATATTTCCTGATATTGATGTGACAACAAGACATTTACATGGCAATATCCTGTTGTCAACTGAATCTTTGGAGCCAAGATTGGTAAAAATAACAATAATAATAATAAAATTGTTTATAAAGGTTTAGGTTTTCTTCTGTTGAAATCATGCAGGTGAGGCCAAAGAATAGATGACAATTATAGATGCATTACATAAACAGTTAAATTCTCATCAATATCTAAGGCAGAAGAACCATGGAAGAAAACCTTTTATATGAACGTTAAAGTGTTCAGAAGAATTTGAAAGAAAATCAGAATATTATGATGTTATATTAATGGACTAAAACAGACTGATGTCTAATAAAAAATACTAAACTGCATGATGGCAGGTTGCAAGACAAATTAATAACTAGAAAAAAATGCATCTAATAACATTTGAGGTATCCCCAATTCTTCACACAGGCCTTCCCATATTCTTTCTCTCAGACAGGATTAAACCTTTCCAGTCTGTATTGTTTTTTACAGACTGCTCTGCAGTATATTTCTTTTCAATTATGGAAATATTCTAGCTTTCCTCTCATCAAAGAAACACAAACAACAATTAAATAAGAACGTTTTTAACCTTCGAAATAGGAAAATATGAAAAATAATGGTAACACCCAGTTATAATGAAAAGTCAGGTCAAAAGAGTCAATCTCATGCATTATAATGGAAATTTAAATTGATACAAAATTTTTGAAGAGAACATTTACAATATGTTTAAAAATTTTAAGAATTAATATTTATGTCATTTTATCCAATGATTCAGTCTAAGGAATTTGTTAAAATAATCAAAGATTTGCACAAAATATTATATTAATCTATATGAATGCCCCTTATGTGATCTATTATGTTGAATAATTGA